CCCGGTTTTGTCGCCCGCTCTCCGTCGCCGAGCGCGGGAGGGACCGGAGTTTCTCTCAGTAGCAGGGGGCTGGTGCCCGTTTTCACCGCAGCTCACCGGCATGAACCGAATTGCGTGTAAATTGAGCTTGAAGGGAGGGGGTAAGGTGGTAAAGCCGGGCAGAATCCTAATTCCGGGTGTGCATAAATCCCTCGCTGTATGGTCCTGTGTAGAAAGGGGCTCCTGTCATGCCAAGTCCTATTAAGCGCCCGGGTCAGGTGCAGGCAGCGCACCTCAGATTTTAAATGCCATTTCACGCACGAAGACAAGAGCACAGCCTGCGTGCGTCCCTTGCACGATGAACACAGGAGCTGAGGATCGGCCAGCAGGACAGGCCCGGTGGGAAGTGGGGAGAGCGGGTGGGTGAAGAGGGGGAGACGGGAGCGAAGCTCAGGAGCGGCGGTGGCGGCTGCAGCCATGGCAAAGCCCCGCTCGGCCAGGCCGGCCTCACCCGGCCTGTGTAACCTGCTCATTTCCCAAGGCCAAAAAGGACATTTCACGACAGCAAAATCATCTAGGCTTGTAAAAACCTGCACTTTTTTCCCTCCGGGGTAGCAGAAGGAGGTTGGTGGGGTTGCAAGAATTCCAGTCAGAATGTTAGCTGCATTTCTGCTATGGTTACTGGATGTTCTACACATTTGCTGGCAAGAGAGAGGAAAAAGAAGCATAATTGCCTTGAAGTCTGGTAGCATACAGTCAGAATGTTAGCTGCATTTCTGCTATGGTTGCTGGATGTTCTACACATTTGCTGGCAAGGGAGAGGAAAATAAGCATAATTGCCTTGAAGTCTGGTAGCATGATTCTGTCCATAGTTGGTTATGGCAGGCTCCTGCTCTTATGCAGCATGATCCGCAAAATGGAAGTACACGATCTCTGAAATTTTCACAGAAATAACATGTTAAGTGCAAACTCTTGAATAAAAATGTTTAAAAGGGGGTAAATAATTATGCTAATAGATTATACTGAGTAAATAATTTAAAAACTTAAATGGAATCAAAAGCTAAATCTAATTGCAGAAGGTGTTAGGTAAGTGGGTGGTAAAATGGTCTGTGAAACTCAACGTTGTGTGAATATAAAGCCTCTCCCTGAGTGTTTTAATCTGTATGAATACAAGGAAGAGCTGTAAATTAAATACTGTGTTTTCAGAGTTTACCAAAAAGTCAAATAATATTTGAAATTATTAGGATACAGCTGAGAACGAAGCGGAAAACATCACTGTGTCAACAACTAAATCTGTGGTATATCCACAGTGTACATTGTGTCTTGGTCCCTTGATTTTCATAAAAATAGTCATTTTTGGAAAAAAAAAAAAATCCACCAGAAAATGTCAGTTGAGTGATACAATGTAGGGTATAGTCTCTGTATATGGAAACTGACCTTATCAAGATGCTTCAGTTTGGAATCAGAATAGCTGAGCTGTTCTGAAACACTGATAAAATAATTTGGGTCTGAGTTTGTGTGACTTGTGACTTAGTTTGCACATTCCCCAGCTCACGAAAGCACTCTTGGAGTCCATGCGAATATTAAAATGCATGTGAAGTTTAAGCGTACGCTGATGTTTTTTCTTCCTTTGGGAAATAGCAATGCGTAGTTACACATTCCTGTAAGATATTTGTTTGATAGACTATAATACAGAAGGGAAGAGGAATTATTTTCCTTACTTAAAAATAGTCCATAAAAATTAAAAGCTGTTTAAAAATTGAAACCAACAGGTACATCTGTGTTAAGAGTTCTGCAGATAGGTAACATGGAGAAGAATTCTAAGGAAGGTCTTGGTTATTAAGAAGTTGGCCAGAATGACAGAATTAAAAAAAAAAAAAACAACAAAAAAAAAATCTGTCAGTGCTAATAGAAACACCTTTTACTATTGTAAACACTGCGGGTTATTGTTTGGGAATATTAATTAAAATCGGGCATGTAAAATCTGGAAAATATTTTTAATTCCTGTGATCTCTGGAATCAAATACAGTTTAGGTTGATGAGTAGTCATCTTATTTAGCTTGTTTGATGTTAATTTGTTCTATTTCTTTGGAATGCATAGGGCCAAGCTGTGAAAATATCCTGTGGTCATCAGCCTGTATTTTTGAGCTGGATGGAAATCAGGCATCGAGGTCACCAAAGTGAAAATATTGCAGAGATTAACAGACAGTTAGCAGAGAAACTTGGCATTACAGATGGAGAACAGGTTTGAAATGCAATCTTTTTTTCTTATTTAAATAAAGAGTATATTGCAAGATAACCTGAAAAAGTAATAATTTACAATTTAGCTATGAACTTATTGTTTTGTGGATTTAGTTACTTCATTTATATCTGATCATAAGAAAAGCTAACCGTCATGAAACATCTCAAACATGAAATAATGTTAGTATAGGCTTGTGGATAGGTCTTCGCAGGGCTGGAGCCACTCTGCAGTGCCATTAATTTTAGGAAAATACACTTTTAAGCAATGAAACAATTTGGGAATTACCTTATGAGAATATTTTGCCTGGAGTTCCTGTTATTTTAAATTAATTACTGACTTACTGCATATTTCTTCGGATTTAAATTTTCATCCCTTTTTTCCCCCTTCACTATATGTCACTGCGTGTTCTCTCTGAATGTGTATTTAAATTGGCCTCTCACTCTTGAACACTGTGTTAAACTTCTTGTAAACGATTCTTTAATTGGACAGAAGTTGAAGACATGCCCAAGAGGCAGGCAGAGCTTTCTGACACGGGACTATTAAAATCTCAGCATACAAGCTGTTTGCGTTTTTTTTGTTAATAGGTAGAGATTTAAACGAACAAGAATAGAAAAGTATTACTCTGCACAGTGTTACTGTGTAGTATATTCATGTATGCCTGTTCTCTCATAGGAAAATTTTATTCAGCATAACAGAAGACGTCCAAGAATGTGGCTTAAAGCAGTGTATTATCTTACCTTGTTTACTTCTTCAGCATACCCTCTCTAGAAATGCTGTATTATTTGCAGACTTTTACAATTTACTAGTTTGATGGCAAGGTAACTCCACTTTTTTGTTCTAGCAACTAATAGCCTTCCACAGGAAAAAAATGACAAAGGAAACCTAGGAAAACCTCACCCAACTGTTGCCTGGAAATTAATGTCTGTATAATCAAATCAATAAATGAATAATTGGGTAGTTTTGCCATTGTTTTGGATTCAGGAATTGCATGTTTGCTGTGTTTTATAATAATATGCTCGTCTATTTACCATGTTGGGGAAAAGATATTCCTCTCAACTTTCGCTTCAAACTGAGGACCTAGAGGAATTTAAAATCAGTTGTTACTTTTAAAAAAGCTGACATGAAATAAATCTCTCTCAGAGGACAGGTAACTAGTTTTATCTCAAGAAAAATTTATTGAGGTTTATGTAAAAATGTATGACATAATATTGTTTTGAAAACTGTTACTTTCTGTCAAATGGAACCTTTGGTAAAAATTAGCTTTTGAAATACATGTTTAATGCTTTCTGAAAAGCCTAAGCCACAGTAGCTTTTGTCATTCCTCCTGACGCACAGGACCTTAAAACTGTTCTGTGGAGGTGGGGCTGCTTCCTGTGAAACCATTCATAAAGGAGCTGATTTTGCTTTTGTATTGTATTTTTTCCCTCATTTCTTCATCTCTTCCTGCCTAATCTAAATTTGTGGACAACTTGATGAATTTTTCAGAATTCTGGAGTCCAGGACATTTAAAAATAAAAATTTAAAAATGCAAAGACAGTTATGTGATCGGTGTGCATTAAAAATTGATTGTTATCAGCTGATAAAGCTCTTGATGCTTTTCACATTCCCTTCCGTTCACAGTGTGTTGAAGTCCCCAGGCATGCCCAATGCAATCCATTTGCAGTATGTTGAACGCCCATCTTCTGCTTATGAGTTACCTAGTGTCATTAAGAAGATGCATGTTCAAAGTAGTGAAAGTGTATCATGAAGGAGATGTCAGTTTTCTAATTGAGTTAAAGATGGAGCTTTTCTGTGATGAAAAACAAGTAGTTAAATATGTTGAAATGGTGTTACTTTTGCCAGGTATTTCTTGAACCCTGTTCCCACGTCTCCTCCTGTCAGCAAGTAGAAGTGGAACCG